AGGTATTCGATGCAGTTTTTTATGCTGATTCCGAATATCATGTTTATTCCGCACTAGAATCGACTTTTAATGGTCAAAATGTAAAAAATTCTGAAAAATTGTTGTATTAAGTATCTTTGACGACCGCTGCTTTCCAAATCGAACTAGGGGAGAAAACTAAATAGTCCACGTTGTAGAGCAAGTGCTGCTCTATCGAACTGGTACTACCACCATTCTGGGGAATTCGGGTTTTCTGATTGATTTTTTTCAACACTCTTCCTCACTAAGTCAACAAGAGAACTGCTCAAAAGTCCGTGAAAAACTTTTTGGTTCCTATTAATTCTGATGCAGTTTCTCGCGATGAATCTGAATATCTCATTGGTTTCAAAATTTGAGCGAAAAAAAATGGAATTTCATCGATTTTTCTATCAAATATTGCATTGAGTTTTTGCAAAAATGCAAAAAAGTCCTAATAGTATTTGACCTGTATCTTTGCGAAAATAAGGTCTAATTCTAAAACTTTTATGACCAAAATGATCAGCGCAAAAAGCTCTACAAACCCTGAAAGTTTCAATGAATTTGGACGTGGTCGCCGGATCGACTGGCGAAACCCCATGGAAACACCCTTGTCTTAGTTCTTCTTAACCCTATTTGAGTTTTTTTTTGTTTTTGTTTTTCATTATTATCATTGTGTCAAAGATCATACCGTTCTCATGCTATGTGTTCATTTTAGATTTTAATATTTATTGTTTTTTTGCTCTCAATCATGAATACGAATGCGAATAATACGACCGACATTGCTTCCAGTGATCCACCTTTAGAATCACGTTCGGTAACCAATCCAGCCATACAAACAAGTCGACAAAGACGAAGAAAAAAATGCCATGGACATAAACAACGAAGACGTTTTCGTCGAAGACGATATAAACGTGGTATGACTAAAGAAGAGGTTGACAAAAGACTTCAAGCACCAAAACGTGCTAAAAAAAACAAAAGGTGAAACAATCGCAGAATGTAACTGCTTCGACAACAACTGTAGAACAGAAGGAAACAACGGCAACATCGGCATCAATACCAGTAAGTGATAATAGTATAGTGTTGTCGACCCTATATCATATCTTTGCATGTCTACTATTGTACCTAGAAAAAACAAGATGTCAATCAAAATCAAGTCAAACATGTTGTACCGAATAACAAACGTAAACGAGATATCTCATCTCAAGATCTACATCGTCATCTGCTTCCATCATCAGCATCCAATCAATTGAACATTCGGCCACCAACAATCAAGAAAATGAAAAGAATCAGTTTCATTCAATCCATTCCAGTGAATAGTATTAGTATGAATAAGAATTATCCGTAAGACTATTATTCTTATCATCAAACATTTTTTCTTTTTGATTAATCTATCTGTTCTACATCTAGAATGCCAGCTTATTTAACTCATTCACCACATCTTATTTTTCAAGCACTTCGTCAAGAATTTAATTGTTCATTAAATAAAAAAGATGAACAAATCTTTATTCATTTACGATTACAATTATTCGATCGTCAATTTCGCCTTGAACTCGATCAGCACTTATGGCAATCCTATTTAGATCTTTTTCATCAAGACAATTTATGGCCAGTAAGTTTTATGAATGACAATGTCTGTTATTGTAATAATTTTTTTTCTTTATTTCAAGCATCAATTGTATGAAATGGCCAAGACGAATCAGCCCAATATATGTCAACAATATGTCAAGATACAGTTGGAGACGATTAATGGTCAATTGAAGCAATGTAATAAGGAATTGATTAGACAAGCAGAAACCTCGAGATCAATTCTATTACCATCATTAGATATCATGGATATGAACTTGAAAAATTATGTTTCTCTACAACAAAACTATCTCATTAAAAGAAATGATCATCAATTGATTCGATGTAAGAATGATATTCGTGATCAACAACTCTATCGACAATTGTTTACCGACAATTTAATCACTATTCAACGCATAGGCGGCGGAGCCACGAGGCCTGGGTAGGCACGAGCCTACCCTAGATTGGAGGAGGGTAGGCTTGGGTAGGCTCAGATAAAGGCTTGGGTAGGCTCGAACCAGTACAGATAAAGGCTTGACTAGGCTCGATTTAATGTAAAATTTTTCTAATATTAGATAATTTTCATGTTCTTCTGTCAGATGACACGTTATTACCAGGTCAGTCCACATCTTATTATTACAAACTCGTGCCCAGTGACATACTGATTGGTTTCGTTGACGTCTATATTTACGTCGAATTCTTTATTTTTAATATAAGATAATTTAACTTTTGTTCTAAACTTCTATTCAAAATAACTTTTGAATTTTAAGTAATTAAAGAACAGTACTCTTCCATAGGTAGTGGAGCCATTAGGCCTGGGTAGGCTCAAGTTCACCCTAGACTGGCTGAGGGTAAGCTTCAGTAGGCTCAAACTTGGACAGAGCAAGGCTTTTGTAGGATCTATTAAATGTGAAGGTTTTCTATTATTTCTAGTTTTCCAGTTTTTCTGGCAGATGATACATCGTTATAGAATCAGTGTCAGTCATAGGCGGCGGAGCCATTAGGTCTGGGTAGACTTAGCTCTCTCTAGACTGAATATCTAAAAAGATGTTCATACACTCCATTCTACATAAAAATGTTATATTATTGCTAAATTTTCGTTTGCTTATAACGCATGATATATTATTACAAGATCAGTTTATTCTGTATCTGCTACCAACCATAGGCGACGGGGCCACAATGGCTGAGTAGGTGAAAGCTCATCAAGATTCAAGTTTCATAGGCTAAGAGAGACTCAAACATTTGCTTCTCACTCTATCAAATTAAAAAACTTGCGTACTGCTCGAAAGTTTTTGCTGCCATCAGCGGTAACTGCTAACATTTTTAGGGAAAAAACTGAGTTTCGTATGACTAAGTGTTGCAACGTACATTGATAATGAGTTCACGTTATGCTCTTTTGTTACAAATGAAGAATCACCTTACAGGTTACTTACAATCATATCTGCTGGATGATGTCGAAATTCTCTCGCCTTTTTGCAGTTACTCTCAGATGCCGATCAAAAATTTTCAACACGCTGAACAAGCCCACAATGAGATTCCTTTTCTGTGAGCACTGCTGCGTCGCCATAATTCTAGTTTCCACTAATACAAATCAAAAACTCTTTGCAATGTGTAGCTCATGAGATAGGTTCAGAATCTAACCAACTCTAGTTCTGAGCCTGGGTTTGAAACTTGTCTGTTGACCAGAGTCAGATCTGGATCCAGGCACAAATTCTCGAATTCAGACCTGATAGGCTCTAGCAGCACGTAAGAACTAGTTAAAACTTGGTTATTACGAGATTATCGTCAAAATTGTTTGAAAAATGTGTAGAGTGTGCTGGTTGCCCGAAAAATTAATAAAAAAAATGTAGTATCTTTGAAATAATTATCAGATTGAGAATAAAAAACTTGCATTGAGAGTACGAGCACTACGAATCCGGCTTCGGATCCTAAAATTTTGCATCCAATGGACTGTATTTGAGGGTCACTATTTAATGAAAACAAAAGTTTAAGTAACTCTTTGAATACAAGTTTATTGCCACAAGTTGCAAACTCACCTCTAATCTCTGCTAATGTTATGCATTAAAAAATTTGAGTTCGAAATAAATAGTATTGATTGTATTTTATTTGAATGACATAGCATAAAAAATTACCCTCTCTATCTTTAACCTGTCAGTAAGGCTCGTATAAAAATATTGAGCCTACCCTAGATTCAAAACGCTCCGCCGCCTATGGTAGATAGATAGATAAGTAGATAGATAGATAAGTAGACAGATAGATAGGTAGATAGACAGATAAATAGATAGATAAGTAGGGCATTAGTACAATTCGTCGCAATCAATTCGT